CTCAGAGTAACAAATTTGACTAAATTGATGGGGTACAAGGGAATATAACCTACGGTATTGTACGCTATATGAGCATGCACCTATCTAGCCTATAACATATACAAAATATATGTTGACACTTACAAACTGTCTCACCGTCATCCCTTACCTGCTCATAGTACTGGACATAGGCCCACCCCTTGTCACTCTACAAGTGCTTAAACAACAGCAAGACCACGGCTTACCACACCTCATCCCCCGCCCCCCTTATAGACACATGCAAGAACCAGGGGTCCCCATGGTGTGATGGGTTCGCACGAACGAAGTGGGTGACCCTGGAGAGCCACTCATGGGGTCCGGCAGGTACTGCTGTTCCTGTGTAAATCTGCAAGGGGGAGGGACAGGGTGCAGTGATTGAAACTAATGGTAAAAAGGGGAGGCTATGCCGTGGCACTACCCAGGTGCTATGACAAACTTCGATCGAGGGGCGAGGGGGTAGGCAGAAAGGGGCAAGGGATTAGAGGGGGAGGAACTGACGCCCATTAGAGAGAGGGAAGGAGGGACAGAGGGTTATGTGCCATACTAGAGGGAGGGATGGATGGAGTGGCAGAGGGGAGGGGGAGGTGAGAGAGAGCTTGTGATGTATGTTGCTGGGGTGAGGGAGGGAGCGGCAGAGGGGAGGGGGAAATGAGGGAGAGCTGTGTAAGTGCCGCATAGGAGGGAGGGAAGAAGTGGCAGAGGGGAGTTGTGGATGGGGGATAGGGCTGCAGGAGATGTTGTCTCAAGGGTGAAGGAAGGGAAGAGGGACGGGGAGGGCTACAAGCAAGCCCAGGTGGTCGGCAAGGGAGGGGGCACCAGGGTCCTAGGATATATAGGGGTGCTCTCATGTAGTGTAGGGGACGTGATGCCGGCCGTCTGAAGACCCCCCCTGCAGGGTATCCAGGTGCCCTCCTAGTGCGGCATTGTATAGGGCGTATTGGTTTGTGTTGCTGCGCCTAAACTTGCTGCCGGCCATGTGCATGGCCACATGGGACCTCAAAAATGTTAGAGATAGGCTGCAATTCGGTTGGCACAACTTTGTGTTGGAAATTTGTTGGTTTTAGGGATACGCATATTTGTTAGGTTGGGTTGTAGCTATTTTTTCATCCCCAACCTATCCCAACCCAATCCATCCCAAATCCTCACGATTTGGGAGGATTCCCCTGGGATTCCCCTGGGATTACCTCCAATTCGCCCTTATCCCTTCCCATCCTATCCGATGCTTGGTACTAAAGGATGTATGCTCTTGCTCATTATATCAATGAAATTCTCAGTTTCTGATATGGTATCAAAGCTCTGTTCCTGACCACGTGGCTCATGATCCTCCCGCTCCCCCGGAGCCTCGCTTGTGCGCTCTAGTTCGCACAACCTCTCTTTGTACTTTGACATCATGCTCCTAAGTACATTCTGTTGTTTCTCCTCAGATCTAGTGCTCGCGCTTCCCGGCTCTTAGTGCCGGATTTCCGTCCGTCGCCTTGCATCTGCTCGGCGTCTCACTTCAGGCTGAGCCCGTTGCCCCGCATCTGCTCATCGCACCTGATCGGGCTGAGCCTGTCGCCCCGCATCTGCTCGTCGCACCTGATCGAGCTGAGCCTGTCGCCCAGCATCTGCTCGTCGCATCCGATCGGGCTGAGCCTGTCGCCCTGCATCTGCTCATCGCACCCGATCGGGCTGAGCCCGTCACCCCGCATCTGCTCGTCGCACCTGATCAGGTTGAGCCCGTCGCCCTGCATCTGCTCGTCCCACCTGATTGGGCTGAGCCCGTTGCCCCGCATCTGCTCGTCGCACCCGATTGGGCTGAGCCCGTCGCCCTGCATTTTCTCGCCGCACCCAATCGGGCTGAGCCCGTCGCCCTGCATTTGCTCGCCGCACCCGATTGGGCTGAGCCCGTCGCCCCGCACCTGATCGGGCTGTGCCCGTCGCCCCGCATCTGCGCGTCGAAGCTGGACGGGCTGCCCTTGCAACAGCGGGGGGTGCAGCGGCGTAGCGGACAAGGGAGCAGCAGCGAAGCGGAAAGGGGCAGCGGCGAAGCGGAAAGAGGGGGGGGGGAGGGTTCAGCCCGATCAGCTCGATCGGGCTGCTGCATCTGCTCGTCGCACCTAAGCCGCAAAATTGAGGGGATTTGCCTCAAGGATGTCCTCCTCAATCACGGCAAAGGAAAAATGCCGGTCCTTCCCAAGAAGCTCTCAGCCATGGCCACAGAGGAAGATTCCAAGGCACAAGAGAAATCCATGTCCAAGTATGAGGAATCTTACGGCATGTGGGAGCAAGCCGACGCCGCCATAATTGGCGTCTTCGTTGGAACTACCCCTTCCAAGCTCGTTAAAACAGACCATAACTATCCCTCCACGCACGCCATTTGGGAGTACCTCAACAACCACTTCCTCAACAAAACCGCTGTGGGGGTGGCGATCCTCATCCCCCGCATGCTTCAAGTGCGTCTAGAGGAGTGCCCTGGGATGGCAGATTACGTCGCTGAGATTCAAGGGATTCATCAAGAGCTGAAGCAACTCGACATTGTCTTCCTGGAGCAAGCCCCTGCAGCAGCTCTGCTTGTTGGGCTGACCCCCTCTTACAATGTCACCCCCTCCATGCTTCTCCATCTCCCACCATAAGAGCTAACATTTGCCAAAGTCTCTTCCGCACTTCTCTCTGCTGAAAAAGACAACAGTGCGCAGGCTCGTGCAAATGCGCTTCGCGCTCCTGTCCCGGCTCCAGCATCACGTCCCAATGCGCCACCCACTCGTAACCGCTACCCACCCTATCCTTACGTCATCAAGATGGGACCCCGTGCGGGTCAGGTGTGCGGCGGCACCAATCACCCGCTTGCCACCTGCTTCAAGAAGAAGGACGTCGACTGGCTTGCGAAGAATGGTATCAACTCCAAGCCGCCCAACTAGCTTCGCATGCACCAGCTCAACCATGTTGAGGCACAGGATAGTCAGGATTCAGCCGTTCATGCCCCTAGTTCTGATGTTCGTCTCAACCTATTGTTCCCTAGCCTTCCCATGATCAATGAAACCAGTTCCCAGTACTCGGCGTCTCCACAAATACAGTACCATCTAAACCACTTGAACTCGTCCTTGATAGTGACGCAACCCACACAGTCCTCCGAGAAAAAGGGTCCTTCAAACCATACCAAGCACCCATTCCTCTCCTGGGTGCTGACTCCAGCTTCGCAACTGTCACACATGGTTCCTCCACTCTTCCATGCTCAGCCTTCCCATAAGGCACAGTCACTGGCATATGCGTGCCCACTCTTCGGCACAACCTACTCGCACAACATGAGATTCAACGAGCAGGGGTAACCACTATCTTCCCAGCTCATTGGAATCATTGTGATCTCCTTGAGCCCTCCAACAATGCCCTCCTTGCACGCTTCACACTGACCGCCAACAACCTCTACACACTCCAAGTACCTCCGTCTCCCACTGAAGCACACTCTACCTCCACCACATCATCGTGCTCCTGCCGTCAGCTCACCGACACAACCATTCTTTACCACCATCGTCTCGGGCATCCCAACTTCCGCATGCTCTCCGAGCTTGCGTCCAAGAAGTTGCTTCTTCACCTGCCCGACACACTTCCTCCACCCTCCACTTCTCTCGCTCCTCCATGCTTGGACTGCGCGCAAAGCAAACAGCGCCAGCTGCCTCACCCTTCCTCGCCCTCTGCTGCAGCCGCCCCGCTTGACCTCGTCCATATGGACGTATGGGGCCTGGCTCCAGTATGCTCTCGTGGCGGGCACTCTTACTTCCTAGTGCTCGTTGATGATCACTCTCGCTATGCGTCCATCCACCTACTCTCCTCCAAAGCAGCTGTTCCAGATGTCGTCACCGCATGGGTTCGACAAGCCCAAAATCATTTCCGCACATCAAGTGCCTCCATTTCGATAGCGGCGGCAATTTTCGCAATCATTCCCTTCAAGTGTTCTGTGCCTCACAAGGCATTCGCCAGACGTTCACCCTTCCCCACAGTCCGCAGCAGAATGGCATTGCCGAAAGTCGCAATCGCACCCTCGTGCAAATCGCTCGATGTCTTCTCACTCACTCTGGTGCACCACCTTCCCTTTGGAGTCACGCCTTCCTCCATGCCACGCTGCTGTACAACCTTCACCCTCACCCTCTTCGGCCTGACATCACTCCCGCTGAACTGTGGACCGGCACCAAGCCCAGTGCATGTCCTCTCCACATATGGGGGTGTACCGCTTATGTCCTCCTCAACCCTCAGGTTCGTCGCAACCATGGCGGCAAATTTGCACCCAAATCTCAACCATGTGTCTACCTCTGCCACAACCTGGACTCTCCTGACCATCTTTTCCTCAATCCCTCCACCAATCAGCTCATTCACAGCCGCGATGTCGCATTTGACGAGAGTAACCCTTTTTACCTTTCCTCACCACCCACCACCGCTCCACCTTCGCTTGTGTGGGCCGATTTTGATACTTCACCCTCTCCACTTCCTCCCTCTGCCGCTCCTCCTGCGCCCCCCTCACTCTCGCCTCCCCCATCTCCTTCCACTCTCTCACACCCCTCTTCCCCCACCGGCTCAGCTGCCCGTTCACCTCCACCCATGCCTACACTTCCCTTGCACCCGCTCCTGCAGCTGCCCCTCCACCTCCCTCTCCTTCTGCGCTCCTCCCTGCCCCCACACCTCCATCCCCGCCTTCACCTCCGCTTCCGCCTCCGACCTCCACCTCTTCTCCAGATTCGCCCGTCACCTCGTCGCCGCTGCCACGGACGCTCTTATGTCAGCGTTCCACCTCCTCCCCCGCCACCTCCCTCCTCTCTTGTCCCTATTGCTCCCCACACCCGCTCTCATGGTCCCACTCCGCCTCTCGCCCTCTCTGTTCGCATCACCCTCCATCCGCCTCCTCCTGCCGGGGGTGCATCCATGTCTGGCCTCTTCGAGGATAGGCATGAGGAGCTGATTGAGATCAATGCTGCCATCCGTCAGCTCTGCTATCTCTTCCCCGATCTTGCCGACGCTCCAACTCTCAACTTCTTAGAAAATCCATCCATCTCGACCCCGAACTCGTATGATGAAGCCATCTCTCGACCACACTCCCCTCCGTGGCTCGCAGCCATGATCGCGGAGTGTGAAGCATTCATTCGTAACAACTCTTTCATGGACGTCTCTCTCTCTCTCTCTCTCTCTCTCTCTCTCTTCTCTCTCTCTCTCTCTCTCTCTCTCTCTCTCTCTCTCTCTCTCTCTCTGTCTCTCTCTCTCTCTCTCTCTCCTCTCTCTCTCTCTCTCTCTCTCTCTCTCTTCTTTCTCTCTTTCTCTCTCTCCCTTTCTCTCTCTCTCTCTCTCTCTCTCTCTCTCTCTCTCTCTCTCTCTCTCTTTCTCTCTCTCTCTCTCTCTCTCTCTCTCTCTCTCTTTCTCTCTCTCTCTCTCTCTCTCTCTCTCTCTCTCTCTCTCTCTCTTCTCTCTCTCTCTCTCTCTCTCTCGCTCTCTCTTGTTGTGTGATGTCATCATATGCTATCACATTCTGTCTGCCTCCCATCCCTTGTTTCAATTCGCATGTATGGTTTGATTGCGTGTTAAAGAATTTGTGTGTGGTATTTTTCTGGAGTTTGGGAATGTGTTTTGTGTTATTTTGTTTGAGCAGGTATTTGTGATGATAGATCTTGAGAAGATCTTTCCGACGCAACAAGAATCGCTTCAATCGGAGCAAGAACGTGAAAGTTATGAAGATTCAAAGTTCATGAGCTTGCGTTACAATTGCGACGGTTACAAAGTGAAGTTGTGGGATGACTCTATATGGAGTTGGGACCTTTGAGGGTTGGGAAAATTCGTCACTCTTCTGTAGCAGCTGCAAATTGGTTGAAAACAACCAAGCTAGGTTGGCAAGGGTGGCCAACTTGGATGGATTGGTTGGGAAGGGACAAAAGTCAAAGTTGGGGTTCCTATAGGGAGGGAATCTTTGTGCTTATGGGGTTTCCTTGGTTGGGGACTCTCTTGGGACCTTCCCTCTCATCTCTCTCTTCCCTTTCAACCTTTCTCTTGCTCCTCTAATTCCTTGTGAGATTCTTGAACCTTGATTGAACTTTTGAGATTGAGTTCTTCTCCTTTAGCATACCCCTTATGCGTCGAAATCCATAGCGTCGCGAATATTCCATCAATCAACGTGATTCAAATTGGGAACAATAGCTGAAATCAATAGCTAGTTTTTTGTCGACGACGTTTCTTGTGGAGACGACATTTCTGTCCAGAATTTCGGGATTATATTCTGAGTAATTCTAGCTCCTGAGTTCACCTAGACTGCGTCCTTAATCCTAACAAGTGGTATCAGAGCGATATTGAGGACATTGAGAGGAGTCTACAGAAGTGTGAAGACCCTTCTAGACCTACCATGGCCTGTGGGTGTGCCTAAGTGGTAATCTAAAGGTTGGATGTGACTTCCGCTGAGGGGAAACTCTGCCGAAATTTCGTGGACGTCGACACTTGTGAAAATATCGATAGAGCTGAGTGTGGACAGCGAAGGGGAGCTGAAATTCGTCATTTCTCAGGGAGAAGATGAATGAGAGAGGAGGAGATGCTAATGGAAGAGGAGCTGTACCTGAGAAGACAAGTGAGCCGCCACCATCCAAAGTTGAAGCTTTGGATGACTCCAACTATGAGGAATGGAGTGGGCGGATGAGGAGTGCCTTCAAACCCTACAAGCTACTGAATATTGCTGTTGGGGAGGAGAAGATGCCGGAAGAAGGCGAAGCACGTGAATGGTGGATTGAGAAAAGCGTGGTGATTTTCGACCTCATCCTTCAATCGGTCAACACGGAGATATTTGAGCACATCAAGGATCTTGTGGAAGCGGATGATTCGGGTCCAAGGGCGTGGAAACTACTACGCGATGTGATTCAGCCCAACAATCAACGTGATTCAAATTAGGAACGGTAGCTGAGATCAATAGCTACAACATATCCGAGTTTCGCGGCATTTCAATGGCTAGTTTTTTGTCGACGACGTTTCTTGTGGAGACGACTTTTCTGTCCAAAATTTTGGGATTATATTCTGAGTAATTCTAGCTCCTGAGTTCACCTAGACTCCGTCCTTAATCCTAACAATCCATGCCTGGCCTCTTCGAGGATAGGCATGAGGAGCTGATTGAGATCAATGCTGCCATCCGTCAGCTCTGCTATCTCTTCCCCGATCTTGCCGACGCTCCAACTCTCAACTTCTCAGAAAATCCATCCATCCCAACCCCGAACTCGTATGATGAAGCCATCTCTGGACCACACTCCCCTCAGTGGCTCGCAGCTATGATCGCGGAGTGTGAAGCATTCATTCGTAACAACTCTTTCATGGACGTCTCTCCTCCGCGAGGAGTTAACATTGTCTGTGGCAAATGGGTTTTTCGCGTTAAGCAGCTACCTGGCGAACTCCCAGTCTGCAAGGCTTCACGCAGAAGAAAGGCCTGGACTTCTTCGACACGTTCTCTCCAACGGCCAAACTGCCCACACTATGGACCCTTCTGGACATCGCTACTCGATGCAACTTTGACGTTCACTCATGGTGGTCTCTTCTGCATTTCTCCAAGGGGATCTTCCTGAGGACATCTACATGGAACGTCCTCAAGGATGTCCCTTGCCCTTTCCACCCGGCACAGTCTGGAAGCTGAATTGACCAGTCTACGAGTTGAAGCAGGCTCCTCGGGAATGGCACAAGAAGCTGAAGGCAACCCTCGAGTCACTCGACTTCACCCCTCAGCCGATCCGAGTCTCTTCATTCGCAAGAACGAGAACCCGTTCTTCATTCTTGTATACGTTGACGATATAATTCTCGTCTCCAAGGACTCCGATCAGCTGGCAGCTGTTAAGCAAGCTCTTGGGGACACTCTCACCATGAAGGACTTCGGCGAACTCAAGAACTACCTTGGGATAGAAATCTCGCGGGATCGCGAAGCTTGAACCATCACTCTCAAGAGTTCTATGTGAATAACGTCCTCAAGCGTTTTGCCATGGACAACGCCAAGCCAGTGGCTACTCCCCTTCCCTTGCAGCATGATCTGACCGCTCCATCAGTTCCATCGCCTGAGCCTTGTGATGAGGCATACCCTCAGCTCGTCGGATCACTCATGTATGCGATGATGTGCACAAGGCCCGACCTGGCCTACCCCATCAGTGTGCTCTCGCGTTACGTTGCTGCTGGTCGATACACCAATCGCCACTGGTCGGCTGCTATGCACATCCTTCGCTACCTCCAAGCCACCAAGGACTACGTCCTCACTCTCGGTGGCACGACCCCTCCTCACCTCGAGGGATACAGTGACTCCTCATGGGCTGATGATCAAGCTGACCGTTTCTCTTCACAAGGCTATTGCTTCACCCTTGGTAATGGTGTTATCACCTGGCAATCTACATGCTCATCATCCGTCTCATTGTCATCCTGCGAAGCTGAGCTATTACGCACGCACCATGGCAGCCCAAGAAGCTCAATGGCTTACCTACCCCATGGCTGAGCTCGGGTATCCTCAGCAGACCCCGACTCTGTGGTGTGATAACGAGAGTGGCGGAATACAAACCTAAACCGGGGCATTTTGGCTGGGGCTCAAAACCTTAGGTTTTGACTTTAGGGGGTTTCGAGATCTTCGCTTTAACTGGTGGAAATGTTCGTACATGTTGTTGGGGGAACTGTTCGTACATGTTGTTGGTGGAAATGTTTGTGCATGTTGGTGGAATACTCCTCCAGCAAACCCCCCCTGCGAATAGCATCGCTTTAGTGCATGACCATGTGAATCTTGACCACCTTCCAAAGAGAGGCCTGGCTCGGGATAGCTGCCTTCAATATGACAATCATCCTTGGGGGGGGGGGAGGGGGGTGGGGAGATGTGATTGGGGGGGTTGGGGGGGGGGGGGTTCGAGAAGCTGTCACCAACTGTGCAGGAAAGAATCCATCCCAACGAAGCAGGGGAAGGGTTGAACAGCAAGGATATGGGTGGGACAGAGAGCATATGGGTGGAAAATAGAGGATATGGGCGGAAAACGGAGGATATGGGTGGGAACTGAGAGTATATGGGCGGAACTGAGAGGATATGGACGGAAAGGAGAGGATATGGGCGGAAAAGAGAAGATATGGGCGGGAAGTGGAGAGGACATCGGCGGAAAACAGAGGATATGGGTGGTAACTGAGAGTGGTATGGGTGGAAAACAGATGATATGGGTGGGAACTGAGTGGATATGGGCGGAATAAGACAGGATATGGGCGGGAACTGAGATGGTATGGCAAGAAATTAAAGGATATGGGGGGGACAAAGAGCATATGGGCGGAAAACAGAGGATATGGGCAGGAACAGAGCATATGGGGGGAAACCAGAGGTAGGCGGAAAACAGAGGGTATGGGGCGGAAAACAGAGGGTATGGGCGGAAAACAGAGGGTATGGGCGGAAAACAGAGGGTATGGGTGGGAACAGAGAGCATATTGGCAGAAAACAGAGGATATGGGCGGGAACAGAAAGCATAAGGGCGGAAAACAGAGGGTATGGGCGGGAAAAGAGAGGGGATGGGCGGAAAACAGAGGATATGGGCGGAAAAAGAGAGGATATGTGCGGGAACTGAGTGGATATGGCGGAATACGGAGGATATGGGCGGGAATTGAGAATATTGGCGGAAAATAGAGAACATCGGCAGAAAAAGAGGAAGCAGGGCGGCCCTGCTTCCGCTCCCTTTCAGGTTTCCCATGCTCCCTTCAGCTCTTTCCATGGCAGCTCGCTGAAAGCCTTTTTACCACCCATCCTTGCCTCAAGGTTCCATTGGCCAGGTGCTGTGGCCATTTCTTCTGGGGGCTCTATGCGTGGAGGAGC